TTGGGCCTGGGTCTGCCTGTTTCAGGATGGCTGCGGCGCAAAGTGGCAGGCACGATTTCAGGTGGAGATAATCTCTCAGGTATTGGATACCCTCATTGATCAAATACCAGTAAAAATGCCTCCAGGCAAACTGTTCCTTCAGATAGCCTCGAGATTTCAGGGACTGCATTGCTTTCATGACATGGAGGTTGGGCACATTTTTGTCGGCTAGTTCTGGATGCTTAGGCATGTGGACATCCTTCTTGGCTACCATCACACCCTCCTTAAAAAGGAGTTCATAGATTAAATCTGCATTCCTGTATGCTTCCTCTGCTCTTGGGCTCAAAGTGGCTTGTGAAATTCTCCCCCTCCCCATTTGAGTACTAATGTGAGACCCTCTAGTTTTCTGCCATTCCCTTGTCCTCTTTTCCTAGATCTGTGCCATTGGCTACCCACCTTCTAGTCCTACCTCATTTAGTTCCAATTCTTGTTTAGATTCTGCTGGGTCTCTAAACTCTTTATGCTGTACCCTAGGCTGTCAGGCAAAATCTCACCATCCCTGTATTTCTCCTGAAACTTGTAGCTTGATTGAGTATTGTACCTGCCTTCCCAGTTGTTTGAATCACATTCCTAGGGTTAAACCAGTTACAACTTGTTAAGCTTCTGATGGCTCAGCCTAGACCAGGATGCACAACAGAGTGTTCTGTGATGCATGAGTCAAGCTTATTAAGTCTATAGCAGCGATGGATGCTTGAAGTTGCATAGCTCAGTTCTTTATATGCTGAGACAAACTGATTCACTAAGATGCACTAATGAATAATATTTATTCTTTCTGTGAAGGGTAAATAAGCTCTAACAAGAAGAATCCAGTTCAAGGTGACTGTAATCATGTTAGAATGATTGCTTGTTACAATGTTCAAGAGGACAGATTGGAAGGCTAAATCAGGGCAGGTGGAATTCTTGTCTTTTTGTATGTGTTCTATATTGTGCAAAACTGTAAAAAGATTTGGCAATATAATATATGTAAGGCTAATCATGCAGCCATAGTGCAAGTCAGAGATTTGCTATCTTAGGTAATCTGGTTGAAGATACAACCTTAGCATGATTTACTGATTAGATCTATGTGAACAGCCTAATAAATAGCAGATGGGACTTTGAACCTCTCTAAAAGGAAAATGAAAAGCTTTTTTTAAAATGTGCCTGTGCACAAAACAGACAGGTTTACAGGTTCACTTTCTTGGTAATTCTGTTGAAATTGCTTTTTAGGGAACATAAAAAATATGCAGTTTATTTAGTGCCGCATACAAAGCAAATATGTCTACAGGTGTTGCTAAAAAAACATAGAAATGTAGAAGAAATATAATTGTACTCAAAGGGCAAGAAAATGAATGGCTTGGGGAAGCCAAGGGATAAAGGCCAGGATGGTAGTAGAAATTCTGGGTAGCCCTAAAGCAGACATGTCAAACACATGCGGCCCGTGAAGTGGTTTCATGTGGCCCGCGAAGCCATCCTGGAAACAGTGAGGGAACGGCCCCCGCTGCCTTGGCTCTGGCCCAGGCTGGCCGGGAGCCAATGTACAATTTTGGGGTGGTCATCTATGCTGAAACATGTTCAGTCTTAGCTCCACAAAGCCGTCTAGAAACAGCGAGGAACCAGCCCCTGCTGCATTGGCCCTGTCCCCTGGGTGCATGCTGGGGAGGTGTCACCTTTTGTGAAGAATGAAGAACTGGACCATGCCTTGGCACTTACCCTTCTGCCAGAGACCCTCAGATCTGTCCCACTCCTGCCCAGGCCCCCACAGGCACCCTTGATGCGAACGATGTAGAGCTGGCGATGCCCACCCATTAGGCCACACCCACTCCATCCACACCCACCCAGTAGGCCACACCCACCCTGGCTGCACCCCCCCGCCTTCCCCCAAGGGCAACCGTAATGTTGGCCTCAATTTTGTGGACATAAGTCAAGGACTTCCTGCATTGTGCCCTTTTCCTTAAGTAATTTGGACAAAAGAACATCAAGTCAATCTATCTAATTTAGTCTTGACCACTGATCGGTAGTGTCACTTTAGTTAGGGTTTTGATTGACTGATATTTCTTCCTTTAAAGTGTCAGAGACCAAGTCTTTAGCACACTTTTTGCTCTCTCTTCCTAATAGTCTTGATTCATCAAGATAAAAGAGTTTTAAATTATATTTTTCATAGAATTAAAATAAGTGATAAAAATCTAGGAACTCATGAGACTATGGGAAAAGCAATATGTATTACTAAATTAAATAAATAGTATTAATATAGAGGGCTGTAAGCTCAAGGGGACTTTAAACAATTCAATGAAACAAATTCCTAAATGGGATTTCAAAGTTGTTGAGAGTCAGAGGTGTACAAGTTTATATTAAATTATACTATGGATAACACTACATCAGTAAAACGAAATTGAATGAAGTCTCATTTGTTAATGTAAATATAAATACTGACATTAATAGTCCTTTCCCTAATCAGAAATATTTGTCCACTGTCTCATCTAATTTAATTGCTGGCTGGGGAATTCTGGGAGTTGAAGTTCAAAATCTTAAAGTTGCCAAAGTGTTAGACATGCCTACTCTAGAGGTTTAAAATTTAATAGCTGACATGGAGTTTCCATAATACAGGGATTAACCTTGAATCTGCATGGAGTAGAACTCTGGACAGCCATCCTAATCTTGATTCTTTGTAGGTGGATTGTATTACAGTTCCTATCATTCTCAAGTGCTGATGTTGTATGGAACTAATGCAAATCCTCGTTCAACACATTTGAAGAGCATGCATTTGGAAAAAGGTGTTTATGAATTTTCTTGTGCAGATCCCAATTAAAGCAAAATACCACACCTAGTAAGACCTGCTCTAAAATGAACTTAAGTCAGCTAGAAGCTGAAGAACAGGTTTGAAGAGTAGAATGCACAAATACTAATGTATGTTTCTGGAGTAAAGCTTTCCTGAGAGCTGGATAAAATAGACCTCATTGACAAAACTCGGGGAATAATGTGTTGTTAGAGCATGCACAATCTTATTGAGCTGCGATAACCCAGGAATAAATACAGTAAACTGTGGTTTGTATTAAAAGGTGGTTTATCATACACTATCTATAAATATCATACACCAGGAACAATATACATACATGTGGTAATACAGCAAACTCCAATACACAGTAGTTACAGCAGGAAACAGACGAGAGAGAGAGAGAGAGAGAGAGAGAGAGAGAGAGAGAGAGAGAGAGAGAGAGAGAGACTCCAGCAAAAGCCTTCACTTTTATACTAAGGCTCTTAAAGGGATACAGATCCTGCTTGCTCTTAAAGAGACACAGACCCTGCTGAGTCATTCCTATCATTGCATCATCCACCTTATATTACATTACATCAGCTCATTAGCCTTTAGATCAGGGGTCCCCAACCCCCGGTCGGTGGACTGGCACTGGTCCTCAGCATGCCAGAACAAACAAGCAAAGCTCCATCCTTGGGATGCGGGCAGTATTCAAAATCACACCCCCTCTGGTCCTCGGAAAAATCTTTGGCACTCCATGGCACTGGTCCTGGTGCTCAAAAGGTTGGGGACCTCTGCTTTAAATAATTACCCTGACCTGTTTAATCATAGAAGGCTACGGAAATAGAAAATTATAGATCTGCTTTTGTTGCAGCTCATGATGTTCTTAAAATGATCTTGAAAATAATTTTCATTAGCATAGTTCTCACAGTAGAGTATTGATTTCATTTTGCTTACAGAGTATAATGATAAGTCAGAAACTAAATTGTTGCAAAACATCTTGTATTGCAAATCGATGTTATCTAGACTGAAGTCATTGTGTACAGCATTTATGAAAACTGGAAATGTGTTTCCATAGGAAAAGTTCATTCTTATACAGCTTTAAATGTAAAAAAGTTGAAGGGATGAGGCAGTAACTTTCTGCTAAGAACATTAAGGCTTTTTAGTGGGGATTAATATTCATTTTGGTGATAGACTACATTTTTGATAACCTACTTATATTCTCACAAAAAGAGTATTTCTAGCTGTCTCCAACTATCTGTCTTTCAAATCTATTGAGGCTCAGTATTTAATCATTTTCATCTGAGTTGGCTTATAATAATACACTTTGTACTTCTATATGTCTGGAAAGTACCCAATTGAGGAAAGTTGTAGTGCATTTAATATTTTCCAGATGCTTGTGCCAGGTAGCACTTAAATCAGGAACATAATAAAATTGACAATTTAATGCCCTCCAATGCTTTCAAAGCTTGTTTGCAGGTATGATGAATTATTCAAGGATTTGAAACGCTTTCAAACCAGCTTTTCAAGGAGAACTGATGCAGGGAATTGCTTTATAGTGAATGTACCTCTACTTGACAATCATATGGCCAACACACCCTTTTAAGTAGCAACACCCCAGTTGAAGCCCTTTTCAAGAGAGCTGATACTATCTCCCATTTGTTTCCACTCTAATCCAACATTGGTTCCCTCATACCAAATACATCCTACACAAAGACATGTTAAACCACTTTCATATTGTCAGGAAAATTACATGGATGGTTATATAGTATCCTTGAAGTTATCAGAAAGTAAGTTAAACTTGAAGAAGACATTACTTTTAAATATATTGTCACTTTTAAATTTATCTTTAGCTGAATGGTACAACTTTTTGCTTATCTCTGTGATAGTTTTATTGTACCTTTTGCCTTGAAGAGAGGGCACTCTGATAAATACATCTATTTTGGGATGCTTCAATGAGATGCTTTTGATTTGACCAAAGTATTTAAGGTATTTACATTCCTCAGAAACTCCCCAGCATAATTACCATGTGGGCTTCATTTGTTTGAAGTATCTTTTGTCTGGGATAAATTGTTACTCTTACCAGATCACCTTCTGCTTTTGTGCTGTCATTTTTTTTTTTTTTTACCTGTCTAGGGAAGTCAGATAAAAAGATTGCCAAAAAGAAGTAAGTTTATTCATTGACATTTGGTCTCATTCTGGTTTGTGGTTTGTCTGTTCTCTTCTCCAGGATACTCTTACTCTATACCGTCATATCTTCCTGCAATACTTAAACCAAACAAGAAATGTGGTGAATGAAAAATGCTCTGGGATGGAATCCTGGCAAATCATCGCATCAACAACGGCTGCTACCTTGCTGATTGTGAAGATATACATGTTTCTTTTCCAGCCAGAAAGTAAGGGTCACATCTACCTCATGTGAGAAATCTTAACACTGCACAATGCTTTTGAGCAGGGCTTTTCAACCTTTTCACCCATTGTACCACTTTTAAGATATGGCAATATCCGAGTACCACCAGTCGCCTAGCAAGGTGTCAAAAACTTGATGACCGAAAAAAAGGAAAAAAGTGATAAAGTACAGGTAGTCCTCGACTTACAACAGTTTGCTTAGTGACTGTTCGAAGTTACAATGGCACTGAAAAAAGTGCCCCCAAGGCACAGCCGAGCAAGACACCTGCCTGCCCACCTGTCGGCGCTCTCATTCCCCTCCCCCGCTACCACTTTTTTAGGATGGTCGTGTACCATCTGCCAGGTGCCAATGTACCATAGGTGGTACCCGTACCACTGGTTGAAAAGCCCTGCTTTTGAGTATCGTAATAGTATACTATTTTTAATCTTCATGCATAGTTTCTGCATCCCAGTAATTCCTTGATTGCAATTTAATCCCAGAATTAAAAGATATGAAATAGCAAGAGAGGAACACATGGACATATGTTCACACACATATACATGCCATATTTTGTTGAAGTGTGATCAGCTTGTTTACAAATAATAAGTTGCTAACCCTTGTTGTAAACAGATAATCAGAAAGTATTGCAGCAGATAAATTAAGCCGTAGAAAGAAAACGAGACTTAAATTTCCATCAAACATTTTAAATGATTAATTTAATTTAATTAATTTAATATACTTACTCTTAGTATTTAACCATGAGGTGAAGCACAGAACAAGTGAGGATGAGCCTCAGGTTTTCTCTAGTCTATCTTTTTGATTAGCAGCAGCTTTCATGTGCTATAACCTTATAATATGGCCATTCTGAATTATAATTTGTAAAAATGACACATTTATAAACAACATCCTGAAACTGTTTCACTAGCTCTGCTTGTCTGGGTTTTGAAAACCAGAATGTTAAAGGAGACTTATCTTTATTTTTCATTAAAAAAAAAAGGAAAGACTCATCTTCAGTGTGCCAGGCATTCATTCATTCATTCATTCATTCATTCATTCATTCATTCATATTGATTTGTATAGTCATCCATCTCACCAATGCAACTCTGTATACTATATATATAGTATCAGTATAGTTCTGATATGAATTGCTTTTTGAACAGCTGATATTTCTTTTAAAGATTTGTTTTAAATTACTTATTGTTATTTTGAAGACAAATCTGTTTCGAGAACATGGCAAGTTAACGTTAATCGAAAGAAAAGATGATTCACAAAATTTAAATGATACTGAGTGAAAGGATACAGGTAAAATGGTTGTTTTTTGTCTATCTGATATTTTTGCCCTTCTCTCACACTAAAAATGATTCTGCAGTGACTATTTGAAAATACTGTGGGGCTGCAAATGTTTTTAAGTTGTCTTTCATTTAAGTAAATCTTAAAATATGGCTAATTTGAACTATAGTTAGAGAAAATAATCCATGTTCATAAATGACATTTTGAAATTGTCTTGTTTCCACTGGTTATAACTTTTCTTTGCAGTCACTCTGGAGAAACAAGAGAAAGCCATGAGCCAGACATTCAAATGAGTTTTCTTATTGGGTATATTCAACAATTGACGTAAATTTTTTAAAAAAGTATGTTAAGGCAATTGCTGCTTAAATATACTTCAACAGTGTGCATAAGGATGGAATACATATTGTGTCATTCAGTGCAAGAAATTAGCTGTCTTCATTTCCTTTTATACTTGACATAACTTTAAAATATTAACTATCTGCCTGTTTTGCTATATTAAAACAGTATTATTTTAGGTGCATAAATATTTATGTGCTGACTATATTACTGCTAAAATTAGGTGGAGGAGCTCAATTACAACATCAATAACATGGCCAGGTGTTGATTGTGGAAAAGATAACAAACCGTTCATGTACAAGGTGCAAGTTAAGCTAAAAGAAGAACAAGTCAGTTTCCACAATATAATGTTGAGCATGTACCCATTATTTTCAAGGAGAAAATCAGGAATTGCTTTGAAGTCCCGAACCTCATTGATAGAGAAGGAGAGGAACTGTTGAATGAAATGCTTAAGGATGAATTTTGAAAGAGGCTGCCAAAGATGAAGAAACAGAAATAAACAAACTGGATGTCACACCAAACTATGAAGATTGTCAAGAAGTGAAAAGAAGCTAAAACCCAGGAAGACAACATTCTTCGGAAGAAACTTAATAGTTTCAGGGAGCTATTAGAAAAGGCAAGGAACTGTATTACAACAACATCTGTAAAGACACTGAGCATAGAAACAGATACGGAAAATCAAGGAAGGTCTTTCAAAAAAAAAAAAAAATCTCTGAATTCAGGAGGTTCCAACCTCAAGTTGGCATGCTAAAGGTCAACTACAGTATGTACAGTCAAAGATCACGGAATCAATCAAGATTTTCAAGCAAGCTGTGCCAACAAATCTACGGACTGATACAGGGGCCAAGAGATTGGGAAACTTTAATCATTCAAATACACATACACACGTACACTTAACAGAGTATGCAAACTACCATTCAATATACTGGCAAAATAATACTTAGAATCATCCAACATACATGAAAAAAGAGATACCAGATGTTCAAGCTAGCTTTAGCAAAAGCTGAGGAACATGAGACTTTGTTTCTGATGCATGCTGGATAATTGAGAAAGCTAAAGAATACCAAAAATAAGTCACTATATGCTTCAGTGATTAAAAAAAGACCTTCAAATAGGTCAGTCATGTCAAGCTGTAAAATGTGCTTAGAAAAATGGGAATTCAAGTTCATCTCATTGTCCTCATGAGACAGACACACACATAAAAAGAGTGAGACATGCCTTATACTCTCTCCTTGTTCAGCTCATATGTTGAATATATATTAAGGAAATTGGATTGGAAGAAGATGAATGTGGTTTTCAAATTAGAAGAATAAATACCAATAATCTATGCTATGCTAATGACCCAATTCTTATAGCTGAAAATGAAAAGAGTCTGCAACATTTATAATAAAGGTTAAAGAACATAGTGAAAAAATGGGACTAAAATATACTTGTCATTCTGGTTTTCTTTATAACAATCAACCTTAATTGATAATAGCAACAGCACTTAGACTTATATACTGCTTCATAATGCTTTACAGCCCCCTCTAAGCAGCTTACAGAGTCAGCATATTGTCCCCAACAATTTGGGTCTTCATTTTATTTGACCTTGGAAGGATGGAAGGCTGAATCAACCTTGAATCGATCAGGTCATAATGAAGATACTGGAGTGATCGATTGGCCCTCGGTAACAAAGAAACAATACTCAAGAAATACCCTGCAGACCAGGACTAGGTAAAACAGCCAAGAAAATCTTAGAAAAAAATATTAAGGTCATGCGTTATGTTCTGTATCTACAAATATCAGAACAGTACAAGCCGTGGTAGTCTCTGTGGCACTCTGTGAAAGTGAAAGTTTGAAGAAGCAGCATAGGAGAAATATTGACCCTTGGAGAAGACTTCTGAGAATACTGTGGAGAGCCAAGAAAATAAATTGATCATTGAACAAATCGATCCAGAGTTGTCACTAGAGGCACAAATGAGAAGGCTCAAATTACCTTACCTTGGGCACATTTTACCCTTACCCTAACCCTAACCCTACCTTTATGGAGAAGGCTTTAAATGCTGGGAAAGGCGGAAAGGAAAAGAAGTGGGTGACCAGCAACAAGGTGGATGGACTCAGTTAAAGTTTCAGCAACTGCACCATCAGAAGATCTGAAATATCAGAATTTCTGTTGCTAAGCAAGGTGCCTTATTAAGTGAATCCCACATGATTTAACAACATCCCCCCATTGTTAAGTGGATCACGGCAGTTGTTAAATTAATCATGTCATTAAGCGAATCTGCTGTCTCCCGATAGACTTTGCTTATCGGAAGCCAGCTGGGAAGGTCACACATAGCGACCCCCGGGGTGCTATAACCAACAAAAATAAATGCCAGTTTCCAAGCACTTGAATTTTGGTCCATGACTGTGGGGATGCCGCAACAGTCATAAGTGCAAGAACTGGTCATGAGCCAGTTTTTTCAATAACTTTGAATGGTTGATACCTGTACATCAGTTTGCACAATAATGGAGTATTCTTGTCTGCTCTTGTCAATCTAATTCAGTGTTTCTCAACCTTGACAATTTTAAGGCATGTGCACTTCAACTCCCAGAATTCCACAGCCAGCACTGCTAGCTGTGGAATTCTGGGAGTTGAAGTGCACATGCCTTAAAATTGTCAAGGTTGAGAAACACTGATCTAATTTAATAGTATCCACAAAAGATTTAAATTGTAAGCCTGATCTGTAGATATCCACAAATCTGCCTTTCTACCTTTTCTGTGGAAGTTTTACACATTTTATGTTTTGTGTCTCAGAGCTGTTTTCCTTTAAAAAAAATCTCTTATTTTTTTTCTTTTTCCTTAGGTTTAACATCACGATTTAAAAAATGGTTCTTCAGATTTATACGCAAGCTGCCCATCATTGGTCATATTGTAAGTTTTAAGCTGCTTAATAAATTTAAGATATTTTGAGAATAGTTTGGGCATGAATTGATCTATCAGTGCTGAATGAAGCAAAATAACAATATTGAAAACATAATGTCATATTAATGCTTAGCTGAAATGCGATAGCATTCCACTTTAAGCACGAATTCGTAGCCAGTTTAAAACCAAGCAAAATTCAATTCACCATTGATTCTTTTGTTTCTCCTTAATAGTCTTAACTAAACAATGGAGTACCTAGCCAATGTCTATATCTTCATATGATTTGCTTCATTAAATGATTCAGAGGGATCCTTGAACATCCCTGAGCATTTATACAGAAGATGGCAAAAGAAGGAACACAGACTTGCTTATTGATTGAGTGTTGAATTTATACCAGATGCTCATGGGCTGACACCTTCCATTGAATATTGAAAAACACTGAAAATAATTAACATCAATGAATCATATCAGATGAAACAATGGAACATGACTTAATTGTAATGAAAAACGTATGGAGAACTGCACAATATTTATTCTGCATAAATCGTAAATGTAGAACCTTACTTTTTTCACCATTGAATTTCATTTTGTTAGTTAGTGCCCAGTGTTCAAGTCTGTCCAGATCCTCCTGTATCTTAAGCCTGTCTTCTGGAGTGTTGGCTATTCCTGCCAGCTTGGTGTCATCTGCAAATTTGATGAGTTCCCCATCTATCCCCTTGTCCAAATTGTTGATGAAGATGTTGAAGAGCACTGGGCCCAGAACAGAGTCCTGGGGCACCCCACTACACACTTCCTTCCATGTAGATGCGGTTCCATTGAGGACCACATGCTGAGTATGACCGGTCAGCCAGCTAAGAATCCATCTGGTGGTGATGCTGTCTAACCCACATTTTTCTGTCTTATCTAATAGTAGGTTGTGAACTACTTTATCAAATGCCTTACTGAAGTCCAAGTAAATTATATCCACAGCATTCCTCTGGTCCACTAATTTTGTCACTTGGTCAAAGAATGCAATAAGATTTATCCGGCATGTTGGCTTTTGGTAATGACTTTGCCTCTAGGTGTTCGCTGATTCGTTGTTTGATTATCTTCCCAGGTATTGAGGTCAGGCTGATAGGTCTGTAGTTTCCTGGATCTATTTTTTTCCCTTTTTTGAAGATGGGAACTACATCAGCTCTTTTCCAGTCCTCTGGTAGTTCCCCAGTGCTCCAGGATCTTTGAAAAATATTGTTCAATGGTTCTGAGATCAGTGATTCTGAGATTTCTTACTACTGATACTATACAATGTTCTCTATACTATGCTCGACTATTATTTTACTACACCCTACTATTGCTTGTACTTCATTGGTATATTACACTATTTCTACTATTAGTATGCTATTTATTTATTTATTTATTTTATTTTTATTTGTATCCCACCTTTATAATATTTAAAAACAACTGAAGGTGGTGAACATATTCAACACTTCTTCCTCCTCCTATTTTCCCCACAAAAACCCTGTGAGGTGAGTTGGGCTGAGAGTGAGTGATTGGCCCAAAATCACTCAGCTGGCTTTCATAGCTTAGATAGGACTAGAACTTTCAGTCTCCCACTTTCTCCCCTGGTGCCTATTGTCATTTACTATCTATTATCATTGCCACTATACTACTACTATTGCTAGTATGCAGCGGTATTTTACCCTTAAGACCCTGCTCTGTCTTTAAATCCTCTCTCTCTTTGATCATGTGACCATGGGGATGCTACAATGGTCGTAAGTGTGAAAACCAGTCATAAGTCACTGTATCAGAATCCAATTATATTTCATCTTTAAATTATCAAATATAGAAACTCCCAATTCTGCCTTCTCTGGATTCTGCCATAAGAGGGAGAGAAGGGGGAGAACAAAGGGGCTTTATGGCCCTCACTTCCTTCTTTACACTTCAAAGAGCTGAATGCTGAATGTGTGTTTATTGTAACCTCGAAGCGTTAACATACCAAAGGAGGGAAGTTGCCTTTCATGTAGTTATCTGAAGTCTCCATCCAGACGGAAGAAAGAAGAAAGGGAGTGGAATTGTGATACTTGAAACTATCACTGGAAGGGGGGTTGATTGGGTGGGACTACTGGGGAACCCCTTAAAACCTTGAATGGGAGAGCTTGGACCCCAAGTCCTGTCTAGCATGCCTGCAACCATTTTCTCTTAATAAAGGATTCCTGTTGGAAGAATTATTCCAAGAGTTCTTAAGATTCTTCTTAAGATGCAAAGTGGGGTGGGTCCTTACACACTGTTTTCAGTGCTATTGTAAGTTCAAACAATCACTGAATGAATGGTTGTAAGTTAAGGACTGCCTGTAAATCAATTTGATAAATAGTTAACAAAAATCCTAAATGCCAAAATCAAGTTCTGTAGCAATACATGCATTGAGATAGCCTTTTCCAAGCTGGTGTCCTGAACTATGGCTGGACTCCAGTTTCTATACAGTCAAGATGGCCAATAGCCATTTTAGCTTGGAATTATGTGAATTGTAGGCCACAAATCAGCTAACAAAGCAAACAAGCCTTATGATTGCTGTTTTTAACAAAAGATCTGCAACTAAAGGGTGCCTTTGATTTAAAAAGATCCACTTTATTGGTAGTTTTACATGTGCTCTGCCGTTTATAGATACAGCAACAGATGGTTAAGACTTTGGATGAAATGTCTGCCAAATTGCCCTTTTTGCAACACAAGAAAAATTACTTCAGAAGCCTGCCAGCAACAGGTCTTAGCCAGCCAGAATTGTTGAAGAAGATGAAAGAGTACAGCACTTTAGGTATGATTTTGAGGATCTACTGGAATGTGAAAAAAATCTATTCTTTAACCAGTTCTGTTGATTATAGATCTGGATATGAGAAAGATATGGTATTATCTGATAACCGATACAGAGGCCTTTAAGTGGATGTCAAAAAAATTAAGATCTGATCTGCTTCCATTGTGCCATTGACTACCACCTCTGATCCTCCCAAATTATAATAAATATCCTTGGTTGGATAACTCTTTAATTGTGTCTGACACCTTCTGAAAGTGATCTATCATTGTTTTAAGTGCTCCAGAATGTAAAAATGGATTACCTTTCTTTGCCTTTCCCCAATGTCAGTTGTAAAAAGTAACCCTGTTAGTTGCATGCTGAAGGTGTAGCTCAGGGGTCTTCAAACTTGGCCCTTTTATGACTTGTGGACTTCAACTCCCAGAATTCCTCATTCAGGCACGCTGGCTGAGGAATTCTGGGAGCTGAAGTCCACAAGTCATAAAAGGGCCAAGTTTGAAGGCCCCTAGTATAGCTGTTAGGTGTGCCCTGCAGAAATTTGCTCCCTAATTCCAGCTTCCAGCTCTAAACATGGCTGGGCATTCTACTCTTAACTATAGTTAGAAGTCTTAGTTAATTAACTAACTAATCTAGTTAATTAGAATTAGAACACAGAAAACCAGACTCTTGTTTCAACCAGTAATTGGCAAAGCTTTCAGAAATGTGTATGTGTTAAATTGGTTTACCTAGGATTAAGCTGCTTCTTTTGCAAATATAGGAAGTATCAGCATGACAAATTGACTGATCATTACCAACTAAGATAATGTGGAACCACAAACAAAATATGGCTTTGATTTCCAAAAGAGGTTTCATGTGAGGAGTCAGCATTTTTCTCCTTGTATTCTTAGGTAACGTACATTGGGAAGACCGCAAAACATCTGGGACCGTGTACAGTGGAGATGAGAAACTTGTTAATCTGCTTGTTAAGGTAATATAGCATGAAACTCTTGGAGAATTGCCTTATGTAATGTGTGTGTATAATTAAAAGCTGTATCAGTGCATTCCAGATGAGATTGACTGGTTCATTGCAATTATATTCCATTGCAATCCAATAACTCTTAATGGCTTATATGATACCAAATGTAGAAAAACAGTCAAACTTCCATGGTATGGCTAAAAATGCTGATAAAATAACAGTCATAAAACTCCAAGCCAAAATAAGGTACAAAACAATTGAAATGAAATACTAGAAAAGTAAATGAAAATAGAAACCGTACTGTATAGGATTCAGTGGTCTCTAGTGTTATTTCCTTTCTAAGATTTATTCAAAGACTTAGTTTATTTTTAGTAGAGCCAACAATAGATATAAATAAAATAGCAGTGCTGACATATAAGTAGTGACATATAAGTATAAACTGCATTTTCTTATCTGAAGTAGGTATGGGATACCAAAAAACCAGTCCCTCGTCATGAAAAGTAGTATAAGAACTAGAAATGGACCTTCATATAGTTTTGTGCTGTTTACATTTTTTAAGTTAATGTTTCATATCTTCAGGTTGCTTAAAATAACGATCCTTGCATAAAATCTAGGATTAGGGATGATGAACTGCAGACCTCCAGGTGCTGTTGGACTCCATCAACCCCATCAGATGAGTGTTGCTGTCTAACAATCACTGAAGTGCTGCAGTTTTTCCTGACCCTAAAGTGCTTAAGTCAGTGTTCTCAACCTTGACAATTTTAAGGCATGTGGACTTCAACTCCCAGAATTCCACAGCCAGCATTGCTGGCTGTGGAATTCTGGGAGTTGAAGTCCACATGCCTTAAAATTGTCAAGGTTGAGAAAAACTGGCTTAAGTAATAGTGTATTGTTTCAGCTTTGTAATAGCAAGTAGCCTGCAGAAGAATCTGATGCAAAGATCCAGATAACATAAACAACCATTTTATTAAGATTTAGTTTCAGATGCTTATAATGTCAACAAAATTTGGATGGGTTTTAAAAATTTAAAGAGGAAGACATTGGGAACTGGTTCTTTAAGTGGTGAAGGGTCAAGAGAAGGAGAGCCCAGTTTTTCTGCTGGTTGATTCAAGGTCCTCTTAAAAAGAAGAAATAGGGGCGACATAGCAGTATTCCAGTATTTGAGGGCCTGCCACAAAGACAAGGAGGTTATGTTATTCTCCAAACACCAGAGGGCAGGACAAGAAACAATGGTTGGAAACTGAACAAAGAGAGAAGCAACCTAGAATTAAGGAGAAACTTCATGACAGTGAGGACAATTAACCAGTGGAACAGCTTGCCCCAGAAATTGTGGGTGCTCCATCACTGTAGATTTTTAGGAAGAAGCTAGACAGTCACTTGTCTGAGATGGTATAGGTTCTCCTGCTTGAGCTGGGGGCTGGACTAGAAGACCTGCAAGATCCCTTCCAGCTCTGCTCTAGTCTATTCTACTGTACTCTAGTCTAGTCTATTCTTCTTACTTTTCCCCCAGGAGTGCTGGGATATATTAAAAAGGGCAGCATCCCCATGATCATGTTATCAAAATTCAGACGTTTGACAACTGACTCATTTACAACAGTTGCAGTGTCCTGAAGTCATGTGATCACTTATCGCGAAGTTCTGACAAGCAAAGTCAATGGGGAAGCCAAGATTCACTTAACAACCAAGTTATTAACTTAGCAACTGCAAAGTTTCACTTAACTGTGAAAATAAAGGTCGCAAAATGGGACAAAACTCATTTAACAACAGTCTTGCTTAGCAACGGAAATTTTGGGCTCAGTTGTGATTGCAAGTCGAGGACTATCTGTAATTCTTTGTGAACTAAAAATGAAAAGAGGTTGCTGTATTCTGTATATAAGTGGACAATAACAGCTTTATGAAGGAAAGGGAGTTACAGAAGGAAGGAATGGAGGTGGCAGCATAGTTTCAAGGGACTATTTTTCTTCCTTCAAGGTTTATGAGGAATTTGCATGGAGTAATCCACTTCATCCAGATATATTCCCAGGAGTGAGGAAGATGGAAGCAGAGGTTGTGAGAATGGCTTGCACACTTTTTCATGGTGGACCTAGTTCATGTGGAACTGTAAGTAAGAGGACAAATGTCACCATAGTAGCCTTATCCACTTACCTTTAAGGCAGCTACAGCTTTTATATACATTTACATGTTAAACAATCCATAAACATTTGCATATTTTCCAGGATTTGTTTTCAGAGTATCCTCAAAAAATTCTGGCTTTTGTATTCTGAGTTGGTTTAACTGCGTGAATTAATTCATCATATAATGCAGCGTGCTAGGCATTATAGAAACCTGCTCTTGGAAACATTCTCTAACAAACTGGTTATGCACCATATTTCCGTCAAACTGTATTGCTGCAACTAAAGAATTGGCAAAAAGAATGCCAAAGCATAAAGGTAACTTGATTGCTGTAATATGCGGGAATGTTATTTGTTGTCTCTTCCAAGCTGCAAACTGCTGACCTAGTTAGTGCCCTTTTTTTTAAACACATTTTATTGGTTTTTTTAGATTCTTAAGAAAAAGTACTCAAGACCCACTGTGGTGGTTGGGTGGTCCAACATTCAAAAGTAAAAACATATATAAACAAGTCAACTCAATACATTTCACTATCCCCTCCTATTTCCCTTGATTAACATGATACATTTAAATATTCCATTTCTATTTTAAATTTCTATTACTACTAAACCTGTTTTATAACTTTATCAATTTACTACCATAGTCTGTTTAAAACATCAAATTATCAATTCTAATTCTTAATCTCTCACATTCCTCATTTTATCACCAATCTCATTTATTTCTTCTTCCACTACACAATAGTTATCCTAATAACAATAAAATATTAATCAGCCCTGTTCATATGTAATCCCAGAATCAATCCATCTCTTTAAAATAACAAAATAATATTAAACCTTAATTCATTTAGATTCATCAAACAAAATTCAAATTTTCTCCAAGTATTTATCATGCCTTATCACATCTTTGTTGCCATACAGAAAAGTCATCCTAGTAATTTAAAACACTCCATTAATTATTGGCAATATCCAATCTAAACAGTCATCAATTTTTCAATTCAAATACATAATGATTTCAATTTTATTCCCAAACGTTGTTAGTGCCCTTTTTTAAGGGGGATGCTTTCTAGAGAGAATTGACTTCTGGCAGCTGAAGTTTCTTTGCCAATGTTTTCAGAAGTGGTTTGTCCTTGCCTCCTTCCTAGGGCTTTGAGAAAGTATCGGGCCCAAGGTCAATCAATTGGTTTTGGACTAAGGTGGAACTAGAACTCATAGTTTCCTGTTTCTAGATGCCTTAACCACTACACCAAATTATATGTTTTAAAGCTAATGTTCAAAATGATTATGATATTCTTCCGTTGAAATTTCCATTGATGCATTGTATTCTGCATCCATTTAATCATACAGACATTTTGACTTGTTCATATTGTTCATTTGAAGTTTATAAATCTTGCCTAACAAATTATCTTTATTGCATGTTACAAGGCTTTCAAATTTGGTCAAACTGCTCGGTACAGTATTCCTTTGTTTTTGTGATCTTTTATAGCTGCAATGTTTATCTCAAGATTCTGAAACCAACTAAATCTAAAAGAGCACTATGTAGTAAGAGACTGAAGAGATGTTATCTTTGTCTTGTTATTCATAACATCTTGCAGTCTAACGACATTATCATTCACTGATCAATTTTTTTGTGCTTTCGTCTTCATAAATGAGCCCAGACTGAGTGAGCAGGCAAAGATTAAGAATATTCAGTCCCAGCAGAACTCTCATTCATATTCCCATCCTACAGATAATCTATATATACTTTCAGTGTAAAATATTTTGGAGTAAGCAAAGTAGTGAGTAAAAAATAAAAGCTTGTCAGTGGCAAAAGTGACATGCATTTTAAATGAAAAGTTCAGGTCAAAATCTTACTTTACTCTGCCGGTGTAGAGTATCTAAGCTGTAATCATCAGTGTGCCATAATTATAAGAATATTACATAATTTATTGAACTTGCCTGACTCAGTGACTGGACAGCTCAGAACTATCAAACAAAGCAATTGCAGTAACATCAATAAATCATAGAATAAAGGTAAGCATGTAAGATTTAAGAGACTTACATGCTTATGTTGCAATTATCTGATTTCAAATAATATTGGCTTTCATAAGAGAATATCCCACTCAGTTGTGTATCTGAGAGCAGAGCTAACTCATTGCAGAGGTGAAAGTGTAGGACATGACTCTACGCTCTAGTTAAATCTGCTTTCTAGTTTATCATATCTTCCTGTTCTCAGGAAATATACTTGTTTTTGATTTCTAGAAGGCTCTTGATATTAATTTTTTACAGTGTCAGTAGCATTATTCCTTATAGCCGTATAGCCTAAATATTGTTGCCCAGATTTTTGTTGGTCAAAGTCAACTCCATTTGTCTTGGTCCTTGTAGCTCTTCCCACATGAACATTCATCTTTTGCTTTTCACTGTCTCCTCTTGCCATATGGTTGCAGTTTTTTTTTACTGAAAAGTTTTATACAGTATACAATATCCCAAAACCCACCCACCCTCCCCTAACCCCACCCTCCCCCACTTCCCAGAGCTGAATACAGGGTTACAACTTAACAATCAAATTCTAAATAACATTACCCGACTATATAAGTAAACAAAACCATAAAATACTTTAACTCCCATTTAAAATAAATATCAACAAATTAAAACAAAAATAATAATATAAGCAAATCAATATTAATTAAACCATACTAATACCATATTTAATATATAAGTTATTATACTATCAATACTAATCTAAAATTTACTCATAAGCTAAATGAAACTTTTTAATCCACATGAACACTCATCTTTTGCTTTTCACTGTCTCTTCTTGCCATATGGTTGCAGTTTGAACATGTGTTCATCCTGGTTTTCTCTAGCATGATGATTGAAGAATCCACCAATGGGTTATTTCAGTCCTCCTGCCCAATCAGACTAAGTTGTCAAGTTGTCACGCCCCTCCTTGCCTGGGACCTTCCAGTTTCATCTTAGTCTTTTGCCCATGAGGACGTGATACTTGACTCTCAGTCTCTTCAGGCAGGTTAGACTATTAGAAACTTTTCACCCATTAGTGGATCCTTCAATTTTGGAGTATTGGAGGCTTCCAGCCTCTGATTAGTTCCACAGAGGGAATTTCATTCCCTAAGGCTATTAAGCAAGGGGGGGGGAAACAAAGTCCATTTCTCTCCTATTCTGGGGGATAGGGTTTTTTTTCCTCTCCCTATAGCCCAGCAGACAGCCAGTTTCTTTCCTAGACACTTGCTGATCTTTGGGGGGGGGTGGATTCTCTTCCCTTCTAGCTCAGCAGCCAGCTGAGTTCCACCTAGTCCCTTCAGGCCAAACCATAGGCGGGACACGGAGATTGCCTCTGTCGGCTCCCTTGCTCACGCGGCCGCCATTTTGAGACCGCTTGGCCTTTCTTGGATCATTCCTGGCTCCCGTCGATGCCCAGTCACTCGAGGCCGCCATTTTGAGGCCGTTTGGGCCTTCCAAATCGGACGAAGCCTCCTTCGGCCCAGCTGCAGGGCCAAAATTATTGAATCGGCAGCGCTGCGGGAGAGAGGAGGACGATCCTCTAATTTCCTTCCTCTGGCTGCCTTTATTGATGGAGGCCCCAATAAAGCTCCGTGAGCATAGTTGCACCTATACCGCATTAGGCGCAAACCAGCCAGCATATCCTTTTTCGGTTTAAGGGACCTAAGTCACTAAAACCTTGCTGGGAGGGTTTCTTGTTACACCGTTCCAGGTTTCTTATATCTCCCCCCCAAGGGGTTAGGTGTGGCCACCATTTTGTGAGGCATTAGTAAACTTCAGGAACCTTCTAGAATTTGCCTCTCAGTGGCGGCCACCATTTTGTGTGATCTGTTCACACTAATTTACATTAAACAAGATATTTTCCTTTGGAATCAATTCTAGTCACAATTATAGGATTGTCTGATCTAATTTAGTTAAGGTTTTTTTTTGCAATCACAACAAGGATCCTTGACAACTAGGCCCTTAGTGCCTAACAATCCTTCACCTTAGCCTCTGCCACTCTGCATCTAGTGGTTGCTTGCCAGGACCTGACCATTGCCACTATTGTGAGACGCATGTGATTTGTCACCACCTAGGCAACAGGACTGACACACGGGTTGCTCTTAGCCCTGGTGACGAGCACCTTGAAGCGCCCAGCGTGAGTCCGGCTTAGCCAGTGGGCCACTCACACTAATCCACGTGCAGTCAGTCCCTCCACGGGGGGCAACTGACGTCTCTTGCAGAGCGAGCCGTTCCAGAGCCTCATCTAGGACACTGCCATGGCAGAAATCACTGAGCCACAGTCTCTGGACACTGACATTCAACCCGGCCAAATTGATCCAGTTCCAGAGACGCCTAAAGGAAAGGCCAAGGCTAAGTCCAAATATGGAAGGAAGGCAAGCAAAGCAAGCAACAAGCAGGCCGGTCACATGCATATAGCCCTGGAGAAGCAATTCTCCTGGGCCCAACGCCAGTCAGCTGGACAAGGTCACATGCCTCAGCTCCCCCCACATGCAGCTCCTGAGGTAGGAGCATAGCCTCTGACTTCATCAAGGGCGTTATCACTGTAGCGTGAGCATCAGCAAGTCCCATTTCAGAACTTTGGTCAGGGAGGACCACCCCTCTTTGGGGAGGACCTCGAATTGACAGGTCCCTCCACGGCACCCACAGCGACATTCACACCGTCTGCTGCGGGCCTTCAACTTCAGCAAGGGCGTTCATTTGCTGACCAGCTGCAGTCATGGATATCGCAGGCGGTTCATCAAGCCATGGCCTCATCGGGTCATCATCATCAAACACCACCCATACCGAGGCCCTCATTAGCACCCACTACCTCATTACGACCTACACTCGATCGTTCTGGCATGGTCTCCCCATCCCATTCACCGGATTTCGAGGTTTACAGTACTTTGGATTATGACGAAGGTACAGATCGGTGGTCGGATTGCAAGGAGCCTCCACAAGACTCCCAGCCCATGGCAGAGCTCTTCAATACCTCTCTTTTTCCCTCCTTAC